GGGAGCGTCGCCCAAGGACCGGCCCCGCGGCGCGGCGTTAGGGGCTTAGGGAATCTCAGAGAACTTCCGCGAGGGAAGTGGAGCGGAGGCGGCCTGAGGAAAAAAAAAAGGCGACCAACGGGCATAGAGAGCCGGGAGGGGGCTGGGGGGCGGGCTGTCCCCGGCAGGAGGCGGAGGAAAAATGGAGGGAACTACTCATGCTGACCTAAATGGGATGGGTGCTTCACGGTGGGGCCTGTAGCAGTAGTGAGGCCTGGCTTGCCCTGTGGTTGGGGCAGTTTTGTGCTAGGTTTTTTTCTCTTCTAAGTTCCCTGACTTACCTAATTAATTGTATTAAACTGCATTTTCTGTCATAATTTGTTTGTGTTTAATATTCGCTGTGGAGAACATGAGTTTTGCTGAGCACCGTTGGGGATGGGTGCTTCACGGTGGGGCCTGTAGCAGTAGTGAGGCCTGGCTTGCCCTGTGGTTGGGGCAGTTTTGTGCTAGGTTTTTTTCTCTTCTAAGTTCCCTGACTTACCTAATTAATTGTATTAAACTGCATTTTCTGTCATAATTTGTTTGTGTTTAATATTCGCTGTGGAGAACATGAGTTTTGCTGAGCACCGTTGGGTTACGAGGAAGAAGAAATGTGTCCGGGTTCCTCCTGGTCCGTGCTGTGCCCTGTTCATAGCCATGGGCTCCTCTCGTTCCTCTGAGCTCTGGGTTAAGGAATTTTAACCCTAAGTCCCACAATTTTTGTAGTGTAATTACTCATATCTGCATATGAGCTGTTTATTTCATCTCCTTTTTTTTTTTTTTTTTTTTTTTTTTTTAAGTGGCAGAAGCTGAATGTAATGCTTCAGCCAGAGAAGTAGTAGCAATCTGTCATTTTCAATGTTGTTTTGTATCCTGGATATTTTCTGACCTTTTCTTTATTATTTCTCAGCATTCCATACCAAAAATAACCCCAGTAATTATTTTTTCTTCCTTAGTCTGTTGATCTTTCTCCATTAAAGTCCCCTTCTTAATTTTTAATGACTTAGTTCAGCTGCATTTGGCAGTGGGGCAGAAAGTCTGAGTGGGGAAGGAGAAAATACCCGCATAGGTTCCCGCTGGGAGGACAGCCAGGAGGATTCAGCTTTCATCCCTCTGCCCAGCATATGCTGGAACAAAAAGCAGGTGAAATGGTGGGGGAATCCCAAGGTATGTTCTGGACCTGGCAGAAATGTAGGTTTACTGCAGTTGAAGGGAGGAACGGGGGACATAGGACAGCAATTCACAGGAAGTCTGATTTTATTAATCCCTTTGTTCATGAAAAATTACTCTTTTTTTCCTTGTGCTTTTCTTCAGTTGAGTTGTCATGTGCTTAGCTGTTGTGACTATTATTTTAGCACAGGTGAGAAAACATTTATTATCATATGATTCTTGGACAAAGCCTGATACAAATCCCTCATTCCCCTGCTTGCCTTTTGACCTTTGCATTGTCCTGTTGAAACATCCAGACTTTTTTACATAGCTCTGGGAAATTTCTGACCGCTCAGAGGAGAAATTCCCATCCTCGTTTCAGGCTTGTGGCCCTGAAGACTGGCCTCTCGTAACCTCTCTGAGTCCTGAATATACTTTTTCTTGACTGACTGCCAAATTCTTCACTGGCACATGCAGTTACAGCTCAGAAAAGGAAACTTTCAGTCTGTGCAAGTTTTCCTTTAACTTCTTTGTGTTCTTGTTCTGTTTTGCTGTGCTGTATGTTTCTGAATCTGTTTGAGATTGTGCAGAGCTGATGCATTAGCATGTATGATTACAGCAGCAAGTTACTTGGCAGATTAATGCTGCTTCCGGGTTTAATGCTATCCAGGCACTTAATCATGTTGGTGCCTTTCCTGTGGATGCTGACAGCAACAAAGCAGGGTCTCATCATAAAGAAGTAGTACAGGTTCCCACTCCAGTCTTACTTAGAATAGGAATTTCCACCTTGTACACGTCAGCTGCAAGACTGACAGATATATAAAGCTGGTAATGTGTGTCTATATCAGATGATATCTTTCAAGAGTTTAAAAGGATTGTCTACCTGTGTAAGTAAATTGCTGTGTTTTAAACTTTGAGTTTGTTTATGAAAACTGCATGTACTTCAATATTTTAAGTGATGATTTCTGTTTCTTCAACTTTGCCTAAACACCCTGAAGTTAAGAGGCAGAATGTTTTATTTTTAATCCAGTTTAAGAGTTTTTTATGTACTTATTTTTCCCCATTTTTTTTTGTCTTTGCTGTTGTTGAAGTTTTATTACAAATGTGCTCTTATCCCTGTTCATTTGAGCTTCTTTAATGACCTGCTTTCTTTCTCTAGGTATATCTCTCTGACAGGTTTTTAATATTTTTTACCTTTTTAATTTTCCCAAAATGATGTCAGTTCTCTGAGTTTCTGTAAGATAAGGTGACCAGTAGTAAGATTCAAAGGTGCAGGAAATTGCCAGCAATCTTGCTTGGCGAACAGTGAGCTTTTAGAATTAGATTTCTGGTTTTTTTTTTTTTTTCTACCCAGAGCTGTCTCTTCTATGCAGTCTGATTTTATTTCCTACATTGTTTCTTTGCCTTTTTCCTCTTACTACCCTCCTCACCTCACCTCTCCTCTCTTCTCATTATCTGTCATTTTCTTAGATTTTTTTTTTCATGATGTCTGTGCAAGAGAATCTTTTTACTCTCCAAATGTTTGTACTGACAGAGTTTCAGAAAGTGAACAAAACAGCTAGTGGCTGGCATTGGCTTCGAGTTTGTGCAGGTATTTATATTGCATTGTGTACTGAAGTGAGCAACTCTCTAATAAGTGCACTTAATCTTCCCTGATGCAGTTACATGCAGTGAGACTTCCCATGGAACACTGGGACTGCAGAAGATGTTACTTAAAACCTGAATAACCATGGATGCATTTCTCATAAGCGAGAACACTGCTGTGCTTGTAAAGCGTTTATTTTGAGAAGGGTTTTGTTTGGGGAACTTAGAAAGCGGTCAAAAATGTTATTATCACTGTAAGCAAATTTACTTCTGACACCACTGACCTCAGTAGGACTCTGCGATGCAAAACTGGAAGGCTACGAGGGTGAATCAGCCCCATTATTTCTTTGTGTACATCCCAATAATTGCCCGTACAGACTTTTTGCAATATACCCACAACTTAATAACAATGTAGGCAGTTACCTCTCCCTCCTCAAACACTTCCCTTCCACCCTTTCTTTGGTGGTATTTTTCTGGAGAAGTATGAGGACAGCAATGAACTCTGCTTACCTTCAGCTATTGACATATCTGAAATGGAACAATAATCTGTTTTTCCGTTACACTGCTCTGTTGTACTGTTTTTGCTGGGGCTATGGGCTATACGTAGGTTGGGATCATGTCATACTCTTGCAAGCCTCCCACAGAGAGTGTCAGGGTAGAGAAGTAAATACCCTGGTTCCCCAAGTCATGGTCTTTGACATGAGTCTATTTTGACACTGTTTTCTTAGCAAGCTGTTTTCTCAGCAAGCTGTTTTCTCTAAAACCTGTTATCAGCTGTTTGTAAGTAATACTCTGAACAAAATCAAGAGTCATAAATTCCTTGGCAGATGCTTTTATCTACTGTCACATGTTGATACTTTTAGTTCACCTGTTTTGATAGTCACTAATTAATCTTTGTAAGTGTTCAACTCTCAGAAAGGAAAACATAATTTTCAGTCAGGATTATTTTTCTTACAGTCTAGGGGAAAGAACAATGAAGAAAATACAGAATGTTTTTTTTGTAAAACCTACTTTGAATAAGCAATCCATTAAAACCAGAAAGGTCTTTGACCTTTCATTTGAGTCTAGAAACTCTGGGAATCCATTGTCAACCATAAAATGCCAAGAAGGACACCAAGTCCACCGTAATGGGCGGCCTCAAGTACACACAGAAGCAGTATTTTTGCAGAACAGTGAAGTTCTGTGAAGCCAGAGAATGCATACAGGAGAATGCGGACTTGGGGCAGGAAGCTAGTGCCAGGCATTATCTGATATGGTTAGTTCTGATAGCAGAACATTGATTTCAAAGACTTAAAAGATTCTCAAGTCCTTTGTTCCTGCAAAGATATTAATTTTCCTGCAAATAAATTAGTATTATTTCCCAATTTGTTACTGTGCAAAAAAATTGTGATGTTAAGGTATACTCTAAATGATTATGGGGTCTTACAACTGGTGATAAAGCTACATGTATTCCTCCTAGATCAAACATGGTGCTTAGTCATGAAATCTGAATAGCTATCTCTTCAAGGTTCCCAAAGCAAAGGGATCTAGTCTTTTGTTCCAGACCTCTGGAGGCTTGTACTGGAAAACAAAAAATTATCAGAGACAAGAAAATAACACTTCCTACAAGATAGGCTCTCATAGCAACGGAGAGAGGAAGAGACAGATGGGCAAGCTTCCACAGGTGGGCAGCCTAGCTGGGCTTGGATCAACAAAGTCCAGAAAAGGAAAAAAACAACCACCAAGACTGGAATTACACCATGGGCTACATAGACAAGCAGTGAAATACGGGATGATTTTGGATAAACTTAATGTGTCTTGATTTCAGAGCAAAGAGTGCAGCTACCATAGTTAAAAAAAATGAGGCAGGAGGTTGTGCGCAGTAGTATATATTTTCATGTAGCTCTGTGTACTTCTTGCATTACTAGGTAAAGGTTCAGTAACCTGTGTTGAGTTCCTGTGTGTGTTGAAAAGAAGAACTGTATCGATTATGTGCCCCTCCACACAGAAATCAGAAATTAGCGAGTCAGTACTTTTGGTAGTACAAAAATGGGGAAGTGCAAAAAGTCTTGTGAGGGCCTGTGGGAAGGATATCATTGCGCTTACAACCCAGCACCCCACCTGTCAGGAGGGGTAGCAGACATGAGCTCCACCTCAGCAGTAAGTGAGTAAAATGCCTCCAAAAAATTGTTATGGGAACTCCTCCAGTCACAGCAAGCTGAGGGACCTCTGTATTTGGTTCCCCTCGTGGGAGCTGGAGGAGGGCCCAACAGTCAGAGGTCCAAAGGATCCATTAGGCTAATGTGGGTTAATTAAATAAGCAAATCTAATGTTATGTAGTAACCTTTCATCATCCCTGACCTAGAAAAAACCTGAGGTAGGTGGGGTGGCAGGGAAATACCTAAATAGTTAAATAAATACAAAATAATTCCCATTTCTGCTACTTTTCTTTTGCTGCAATTTCTTTTGATGCAGTGAAGAAATCCTAAGATAGTAATTACTGCTGTGCCACCTTTTCCACACAGTATAACTGAATGAATTGCCTTAATAACGTAATTGTGTTTGGACTAATGGTGCTGCCTTGCCTTTTTGTTTGTTTTTCATGTTTTGTTATTGACTGCTTGGCAGTTGTAGGAATCTTTAAATATCCTGCAATATGGGGGAAGCAATAGTGATAGATCTGTTCAGCCTACCAGCCAACTTGCAGAACAACATCCAAGGATTACTACGTAACGTGCTGGAAACTATTGAGAAATGCTCTTCCATCCCTGCTCCCTTTGTTTATGTCATGTGTTGCCAGAGACAGGGGACTGAAAGGAACAGTGAACAAGAGTCCTTGCTTTCAGCTCTGAGGGATTTTCAGAGTCTAAAGAAAATACCGGAGGTGGTATGTGCTCTGACTACAGCTGCTGCTTTGTACACCATCAAACAAAGACTGGATGAAGAAGACCTAAGCATCATTAAAGTTATTCTCCCTACCTTAAGAAAAGACTTAATGAAGGTATATATAGACCATCTCTTTACAGCAGTCTACCAGTTTGAATTCGAGGATTTACAGGTGTCATCTGATTGTAAAAGCCTACAGATAGCTGAACCTTGGAGTGAAGAGCAAACGCTTCCTACACAGGACATGGTGCTCATCCAAAGTGAGATTCAGAGGTACTTGGAAAGCCTGCCGAGCCTGAAAGGGGAGCTCACCATCCTAAAATCTTCCCTGATCCCAGGTAAAAAGAATCCCAGCTAATAGATTTTACAGAGACTGTTCCCAAGCATACTTCTTCAAAGGAATTACAAAATGGGTATGGTATGATGTGGAAATATCTTCAGGCAGTAAATAACTCCATATGATGTTGTCATAACGTACCGTATCTGTAAGAGGAGGAAGTGTCAATAGAGATACAAGACACCAGCAAGCCTATTCCAAGCCTGTGGCATGATCAGAGGAAAGAGAAGCCCAGGTTTAATGAGAGCATTACTGCAGACAGTGCAATCTCTTCCCCGCTGTGTGGGAATTACACACTTTGAGAGTTACCACCATCTTCTGGAAAGGCAGGACAGGAGTTTCTCCTGGTCTACAGCCTCACACATGCCTGGTTAATCAGACTGATGTTTCAGTGTCCCTGCCGTGGCATGACCCAGTGTACTGCAGCATGTCTCTCAAGCGGTGTGATTATGGGGTCTCATGATTCAAAGGAAAGCTGTTGAGGTTTACTATGGGAAAAATGTGGAACTGTCTTTCCCTTAACATGTGTCTGAAATGATCCGCAACCGGAAAGGAACACGAGTTACTTAAAGCCATCTTTGCCTTCATTCTGCTTCAAGTTCTTGACTGTGAAAGAATCACACTACATACAAGAGTTTTTGAATCTAAACTCTGATTATGTCACTAAGCTTGTCAGCTGTTAAGATAGCAAAAATACCAGTTGTGGGACTATCCTCTGTGTTCAGCTCTGACATGCAGAACCCCAGCCCCCACCACCTCCCAAAACAGTGACTGCATTTGGTTCATGAAGACATGATAAAGGATTTGCACAGTAAAAACAGAGGATTTTTTAGTAATAATAGAGATTCTTGGTGCTATCAGTGTACTTCAGAAGGATGTTTGAGATTCTTTGAAGTCTTGAGGACTAGTACTTCATTTGCCAAAAAAGATTGTGAGATGCCACCTTAGAACATTGCTTTAAAAATCTACTCTCATTTTCCTCAGTGAGTTACCTCTTTTCCAGGGTTTGCACAACAACTCTGCAAAAATTCAGGCTAAATCTGCTAGGACTCTTTCTTGCTCAGACTCCTCTGCCTTTACCTCAGAGGATTATGATTATGAGCAGGAAGGAAATTTATAATCCTTAAATGTAAATGCTACAGCTAAATACAAGGTAAAGCAATACTTAATTTGATTGACTGATGCGAGATCTGTTCAGTATAAAACAATGTAATATTTGGACTGGTCTTGTGTTGAAAGCAGTTGTTTGTTGTCTTTTTTGCTTTGCCAGATGATGTCTTCCTACATGGGTTCACTACGAGGACAGGTGGGATCTCCTACATACCAACTTTAAGCTCCTGCAATCTCTTCAGCAGTTCCAAGTGGAGGGACCCACAAGTTGTTGTTAAAGAAAATCTCCGCCGGCTAGCTAATGCTGCAGGATTTAACCCAGAGACATTTCACAGAGTCAAGGTATCTTATCAAACAATAGATTTATGTAAACCAATCAAATCTTGCTTCATGTATTGTTGGCTAAAGCTTTAGGCATTATTCCTACCTGCTCAGGAAGAACTTGTGAGAAGCAGGACAATTAAAGCATTTGTGCTGGCAGTTTTACGTGTGGGAATAGCCATCCAAACTGTCAGCCATTTGACGCTATATAGAGAAGAAGCACTGTTTCTTCCAAGAGTATTCTAACATTTAACTTACCATGGAGCAGAATAATCAGATAAATGATCAGAACAGTTTCTCTTACAAGAAAAATACACCACTGCTTCTGCGGTGGCTTTCTACTGATAGGTCTGCATGGCTTTTGAACAAGGGAGTGCCTGATTTCCATGCATGAGGAGCTGGTGCAGAAGAGTGTTTCATGCCAAAGAAAAATCCTTGCATTAATCAGAACAGGGTTTTTTGCTGACGTATCACTGTCCATGTTCTGGTTTTATCTTGACAGGTTGATCATGCTAATTCTGTGTGTATTGTGGGAAAAACAGAGCCTGACAGCTATGATGGAATAGTTACAAATCAGAAAGGTGTTACAATAGCAGCTCCGGGGGCTGATTGCATACCTGTGCTGTTTGCTGATCCGGTCAGAAAAGCCTGTGGTGCTGCTCATTCTGGTAGGAATTTTAAATCATGGAGATCAAAATAACTAGGAGACCACTGGAAAGGGAGCTTTGAACTGAGTATTATGAATTAGCAACCAAAGGATCACTGAGTGCTAATGCATAAATTCAAGATCCCATAACAATATAGATCCTGACCTGTGAAGTTTGTATCCTGCCAAAACAAGATTATTCTTGAGAATAGTTTACTTTCCAAGCTATGGAGGTTTGTTTTTTTTTTTTTTTATTTTACAACCATGATAATTATTATTTATGTATTTATACACTTATTTTTCTGATCTGGTAACCAAAACACAGTAATTTAATTTTTGTGCGCTAACTTCATCTGTGAAAACTGGCTATAAAGCCAATGCCCCTGACAATCATTTTGGATTAGAAGAAATATTTGTCTGACCCAAACCAAATGAGAATAAAACTGAAGCAGGAGGTTAGCACAACCTGGAGTTATGTCTTAGGCTAGAATACATATCCTTTGGTGAGGTTTTGCTGCTGGGGCTGTTTCATATTATTAAAAAGTCTATTTATGAGATCAAGAAGAATGCACAGCTGAGAGTTTCTCCTCAGCTTTGATACTAGTGCGCCCCTTGATATGGTAGGAAGCTTCACCTCTGCCCAGAACTTGGGAACACCACCTAGTTCATACAGTTCTTTATACATTGAATAAATTAGCCAAAATAAATTTAAATCTGTGGGTCATCATAAGATGATCAAAATTTTGACTTTCCCCTCAATAAAGTTGTTGTGCCCCCCTCCTCTCCCACCCTGTGCCTATTAAGTTTAGGTTAGAGAAAGTGAGAAGAATGAGATAAGAGTAATTTCTGTCTGGGAGGCGAGAGGAATGTTGTGGTTTTAATGGGGAGAAGGGATGGAGAGAATTTTATCCACTCATAAAAGTTTGAAGAGTTTTACATTGTAAGTGTTCAAACCTAATAATTGTCAAGTGTTTAAATCTGTAGTTGCTTCTTTTTCTGCTGCCTCTTTGTTTATCTAGTCCCTAACACACCACTGCCTTCTCCAAGCATACGTCCTGGCTCTAGCCTGAACTCCTGACTTCTGTCTGCCAAGTTTTGGCCTTCATTGCCACATCATGGTCCTTGCCAGGCTTCCAGTTGTCTTTTCCTAAATCCTTTCCTTCCTGCCCAACCCCAACTCAGTTCATGTTTAACTTGAACACATGTTGCTATGTGTACAAATAAAGATAATTAGACATAAGGTCATCTGAGTCTTTGTATGTAGAAAAGCAGAGGAAAAGTTATTAGCATATCCCGTCCTTCGGTATGCAATGCAAAGACTTCCTGAGACTCAAACCTAGATACGACAACTCAAAGCTGGGCTTTCTTCTATTGCTTACCTTTCTTCTGCCCATTCCAAACAAAGTCTCTAGTTTGAGCCTCTTTTTTTTTTTTTTTTTTTTTTTAAAGTAACACTGAAGCCATTTTCACCATATTATAAAAATATGCTTCTGACTATAATGTATTTCTGTTGTCATATTCCCATGTAAGTGTTTCAAGTGCAGAGGAGCTGTAAGGTATGCTCTAGTTGCCCAACCTAGGACACTGGGAAAAAGGAATTCTGGAATGCTAAGCTAAACTCTTCTGTCTAGTTTCCATCTCCACAAAATGATATCAGCAAACGGGTAGTTGTTAATATGTTGAGATTTTTTAAAAAATAATTATTTCTTATTAGAGATAATTATTTGTTTGTAGATATAAATATACCTATTAATTTGTACCTTTAATAATAGCATATATTTTAGCTCCTATAAAATTAAAGAGACAATTTATACACTTTTTTTTATCAGCCTCTCATTTCTGACAGGATGGAAAGGCACATTGTTAGGAGTTTCTATGGCCACAGTAAATGCTATGGTGTCTGAATATGGCTGCAACGTGAAAGATATCCTTGTGGTGCTGGGCCCATCTGTAGGACCTTGCTGCTATAAACTTCCTCACGAATCAGCAAAAGAATTTCACAGAATTGATCCAGAGTGTGTGAGGCTATTTGACTCTGCAAATCCTTATATTGATATTAGAAGAGCAACACGGTAAGCCTACTGAGTGAACAAAAAACTAATTCCCCATTAGTTATCAATAATTATATTGATATTGTATTATCCAGCACTATTATGGTGCGGGTCCTCACCATCTTAAAGTATTCTGTAATAGTTTGCAAATCAACAAATGATACCTTTGAATGAATGGTATCTGGTGGCTTTTGCTGGGTTTCAACTATTATTTTACTATTATGCTGTTAGTTAATGGATCATAGTCAAATGTTCAAATTAAATGTGGGTTTACTGGTTGTAGAAACGCAATTATTTTAGCCTAATACTGGAAGAAAGAAAAAAACAAAAGCAGATGAAAGTCATAATATTGGCACGGTTTGTTCAGTTGGTACTTCAGGTGATGTCTGAAGGAATGTTCTAAGGAATGTGAGGATGTGCAAAAAAAAATTGTTTTATGTTTCTCTTTCTTTCTTTAAGGATTCTTCTTGAGAGTGGTGGGATTCTTCCTGAGAACATTCAAGATGATTCTGTCACAGACCAGAATATCACTTTCTGTACTGCATGCCACCCTGAAAAATTTTACTCTCACTTTCGTGATGGCACTAACTTCGGGACTCAGATTGGCTTCATATCAATCAAAGACTGAGACAGTATCTCTTACCCTCAAATAGTATTTAGACAATAAGTCTGGTGCATTGTCCAGCATCCTGCTCTGCTCTTTAAAGTTCTTCCTTTCACAGACTTGGAATAGGAAATTCACTGGTCTTGTGATTCTCCTGCTTCTTCCCTTCTCTGCCATTCTGAGGCAAGAACAAACTACTAGTGTGTGGGGCCAATAATTCCTGCGTGAGACAGGGTGCAAAGGAAACAAGGACAACCCACACAAGTGACAAAGCCCTTCTGCATAGACCAGATGCAAGCTCCAAATTTTTGGAGCCTTCTTGACTAAATATCTTCCAGAAACCTCACTATCTTAAGGTGATGAAAGAACAAAAAACCAGTTTTCATTAGCTTCTGGGTGAGACTTCTGCATGAAGTAAATTATGGCATTGCTGATATAGGAAGGGAAGCCTGCATGGCACATTAAGTGTTTGAAAACAACCAACTTTGGTAGTTTCATCTGAAGGTTATCCTTATGGAATTATGTGCCTGGGATTGTTTTTCTTCTTTGGATTAGTTTAAAGATGATGTCCAAAACACTTACAGGACTTTTCCTATGGAAAATAACTTGAAAATCAGAAGAAAGCAAGCAAGCTCCTTTGGGGCAGACAAGGAAAATATATGAACCCTCATCATTCTGTATTTTTTGATGGTACAAATAGTAGGACTGAGACTCTTAATATGGTATGATATGTATGTTCATGCTTCCTTAGGATTATTTTCTGTAAACTACTGGTGCTCTGCTAATGTCCACTGAGACAATCTCAACAGTGACAAGTTATTTAATAAACATCTAAAAAGGGGAGTGAATTCAGCCTCAGTTAATTTTACTGACCAATAGTTGACTTACCTATCTTACTAAGCAAACTCTTAAGTGTGCACTGATTTCTTCTGGCCATAAAAAAAAATTGCCTCTAGATGTTGCAATAGAAGTGATAGTTCCTGACTCATAGACAGTGAGCGATTCCTAGTAGTAAAACTATGCTGACTGTAGCTTGCAGAGTTGCCAAGCACAAGACTTGGGGCAACGGTCCACATGATGTATTTTCTATTTTGAATTCAACGATCTTTACCAGTTCTAGACTTCTATGTCCACTAGAGGTCAGTGCTCGCTCACGGTGCAGTTCCAGCCCCGGCTGCACCGTATTTATGGCTCTTCAAACCATGCAATATGCAAAGCATTGTACAGAATACATTGCTACTTTTGCCTATATAAGCATCGGTCAGGTTATTCTAGTATTTGTGCTTGAAGAGGAATCTATTTTTCATTTTGTTGGGCTGTGATTCAGAGCTGACAAAATTAGAACTTTCCTTGTCCTCTGGGAGAACAGACTTTTAAAAAAACTTTCTTTTACCTGTGAACGTTATTTCTCAGAGAAGAGCCTCGTTCTGAGTATGCTTGCCTCTGAGTGTAACCATCTACCAAAAAAAAAACTTTTTCCAACTCTCCTACTTCATCTTTAGAAATATTCTTCCTCTTCTGCTGTAGCACTGTAGTGCTTGACAATAAAAATTCTTACATTTTCAGTTACTTTTTAAAAACCTCACTGTTGCTTTCATCATTCTTGGTTTCTTTTGTAACTTCACTGTGGTGATGTTACACCTGGATTCAAACTGGAGGTTCAGGTTCCAACACAGGCAGCACTCACGCTCCTCAGCTCAATGCTGCCAAGCATGTTACTGCACACTAGCTGGCGGTGTGTACAGTATGTATAGGTATGATGTGTGTATTATTGACTTATTCCAAATATAGGATAATATAATTATATGGACACTGACAGGCTTATCTTGGTATACTAGGTAAAAAAACCCCAACAATCTACCTTCACCTTTTAAGTCTCTCTGTTTGCCCTGGTGTCTAAGTGTGAATGACCTCACAGGCACTGATTGACATAGCAGTGAAGTGAGTAAGGTATCTTTCCTTCTTGCTAATTCTGCTGTGGGGGCAGTAGCACTACGTAGTTTTCAGTCCCTGCACCTGAAGCTCAGCCAAAGCTTGTCTGTCAGTGCCCTTCACTTAACCCTCTTCCCTTGTGGATTAAGTGCATGCCATCAAAAGCAGCTGAGTTACTTGGTTTTGCAAGGTACTGCTTGACAGCAGAATCATCATGGGTGCCTATGTGCCTGCTATTAGCACATGACACCTCAAAGATGGTTTTAAACTAATGCATTTAACTTTGCAGTAAGTAGAAAGACTTTGCAGCCATGCTAGTTATCACAGTTCAAATGCTCAACTGTATATTGAGTCATGGTAATATGATATTGATAGTAAGCCCTGGCTTGTTCACACCTGCTTAAGAATGACAGCAGAGACTTTCATTTAGAAAAATACCTTTTACGGGTCATGCAACCTGGAGAGCATGTCAGAATGAGCAGAAACACCAAAGGCTTTACCTTTTAGAAGACAAATTGTTACCACAATCGTTCATTATTTCTTTTACACTGAATTACCTAGACTGTAAACTTGTCAAGACAGGAAGCAGCCTTTTGTATATGGATTACTGAGGTGGAGAACTCCACAACCACTAAGAAAATAATAATAATGTTCAGTCCCCAAAGAGGCTAGGCTCTGTATCATACAGAGTTTATTTCAAAAGTCCCTGCTACAAAGGCATTTTAATTCTGGTATTAAAAAATAAAGTTTAGAGGAAGGGCATGATGAAAGGAGACAAGGCTGGTTTGCATCTCTATTTATTTACTTTTCATTCCTGTTGCTCACTAAAGGAGACAAGCAGATCAGCCCTGATTCACCACCTCTAGGGAAGCTCTTAAAATGCTTCATAAATTGTTCAGCTGTACCTGCCTAATGATAAGATCCTATTTATTAACCTTGCTCATTAATTTATAAGCTGCAATCACCCTATTATTTTTATTAAATAACATTGTTAATTATGATTATGGTATGCCCTGAGGCAAGCACAAGACATGATCATGTTGAATATTGGTTTTGATAGCCATTACTGTGCAATTAACATTTGTTGCTATTGTAGATTCTGAATACAAGCCTCTTCATTTACATTTATATATTTGAGTGGACTGTACCAAAACGTTTTTAAGAAGGGCTTTATTCACTATTGTAGTAAAACAGGGCAGCTCCAACACAAACTTCTGGTTCCAGTGCCTGGGGCAGCACTGTGCAACTTCAGAGGTATAGATCAAAGGCTGAGATAATTAGTGAAATGTTTATCCAAACTGTGGCATTTATTGCCACAGGTATAGCAAAGGTGAAAAATATTTTTAATAAATGTATAGAGGTTAGGTCCACTGGTGACTGCTAGTCTCTTTCTACTGATGATGCGAGGAGGCAGGATGAGAGCTAGACGGTTGGTCTGATTTCTGCCTTTGATGGCTGTGTTTGTGAGTGGCAGCAAAATCAGAAGCCATGGGCCTGGACCTTCAGCAAAACGTTTGAGAACAGCACAGAAAGTATATAATTCCTCCCAAATTACAAGCACTCAGTTACAGGAAAGTGTCTCCTTTCCCCAGCAGTAACATAGTTTGCAAAGTGGTCATCTTGTTCTCCTATAGTCATCTTTGCCTCCAGACTTATTTGCCTCGTGTTGTCTCTTGTGCATTGCTGCCTTTCTCTCCAGAACTGCTCACCATCACCCTACAAGGCTTGTGAACCCCGTCGCAGGATGTTGGAGGAAACAGATGCCATTCTGTGCAGAGCAGCACCAGCGTTGCTTTCTTTGGAATCCATGGGCCTTTTTTTCTTTTAGCAGCAGTGTCAAACTTTTTGTCTTCGGCACAGCATCTTTATCAGTATCCTCCAACCCATTCCCATTTTACAGGTTTACACAAGAGGTCCCAATTTCCAGCCTACATGGCAAAAAAGTCAATATTCCTAGATTCCCTCATTGCTGTCCTCATTTCCACTCCCTGCTCAGTTGGATGCTGGGTGATGGAAAGGGGGAGAGGAGCTGCACTCATTTGTCCAGAGGCTCAGAGGGGGTGTGCGTGTGTGCTCGCCTGGATGTCACTTGCAGGAGGCTTTTGTTCTCTGAGTACCAGAGTCCTCGCTGAACTCCAGCCTCTTGTGCAACAATATAACAGGACAGTGCCCTGATGGGAGCGGTAAATCATATACGTAACAGAGGAAATAATGTATTGACCTGCTGAGGGATTTACATACTTCCGAAGACTGACAGCAAGCTCTGCCTGTAAGGCTGACCTGTTCTAGTTTCCATTTCCAGCAGATACTATCTCGTGTTTCCAGATGAATGATTCAGATAGAAATGTATGTGGATTTAAGAACTGTCCGAATGGGTTATATTCTTATATCGAGGATGTTACTAACTGTTACCCAGCATCACACCTTTTTATAAGACTTAAGAGATTTTGCTGCTCTGCTTGCATTAAATATACAATGCCTGTGGCTGTGCTGCTAAAAAGCATGATTATGTGTTTCCCAAAGGCATGCAGAGAAATCGGAAGCTAGCTTTTAAAGTGATCCCTCTGATCTTTCATTAGTAAGTGTTTAATTTACAGTAGCATCTCACATTACAAATACTTAGCTGGCTTTCTTTGTCTCTGAGCTCTCGGGGGTCAAAGCAGGCCCACAGAAGAATTTCGGGAGTGCAGTCCCTAGAGGACAGCAGGGCTGAGGTCTCTTCCCCCTTCTTCGAATGAGGCATCGTGTCTCCAGGGCAACCTGAATTCTGACAGTCATGGGAGCAAGGACACGGCATGGATTTCCATTTGATTCTTGCAACAGAAAAGAGATGTGAGACAAAAATCAATATGTGACTGACTAAACTATGAGTTCATTTTCACAATTAATTTTAGCTCACAGATCTCTTACTGTGTGGATATAATTCACAACTACTAACTACTCTGTTTGTTTTTCTGGTGTTGCATCTTCTAAATGTAGCAAAGGCCTAAACATCTGTAATAAATAGGTTGCAACGTAAAAATTTGGTGTGTCCCTACCATAAAACCAAACAAGCATTTTATAAGGGAGGCTGAAAGCAATGTTTTCATTTC